TCAATCTGTTTACCAGAAGCAAAGAGAAAGAAACTGAACAGTCGAGATTGAATCACATACTCCAGCGTACTTTTTTGTTTTTCCTGACCAAATCAAATCAAATCCTGTCTTCAATCCATCAACATATCCCCTCATCTTCATCAAGATCACGGGTAACTTTTAATATGGTTTGGATCTGACTGATCAATAGGTTTGCTCTAATCCTACTGCCTTCATCCTCTGACATCTCATTACCTTCCAATATGAAAAACTCTAACCTGTTTCTTTTTAATAACAGCTCATTGTGGTTGGCTATGTATAGTGAACGGTCAATGAGGCTTTCATCTGTTTGGAATTTGAACTCATTTCAGCTAATTGTTCTATCAGATTGAGATTGTTCCAATAATGTCAACTAGCAAGCTTTCCAGCCCAGACCTAGACACAGATGAAGTCAGCAAGATAGAAGCCCACTTGGGGGAAGATCACCTCAAATATTGCATTTTATAATCATGATTATACTTGGATAGAACAAAACAAGGCAGGTTTTCTCAAACATTCCATATTTTCTCTTGAATTGAATAATGGGTTGTTTATGTTTATTTATGTCACTGACAATACATGCTTGAAAACTTGCTTAACAACACTGCTTTAGATTCAAATGCAAGATCTTAACTTCTTTCCTTCTGATATTTTTTGTGTAGCTGAGCAAGTGTAAGGGATTCAGAAGGTTGGTAGGATAGGCATACACAAGTAGATCTTGATTGTTTCTATTGTCAAGTTACCAAAGTGGCTTACCAATCCTTACAACATTTTTGGTGTATAGATTTGTAAGAAGATGAAAGTGATGGCAAATTTTGTTGGCCTTTGCGTCATCACAGGTAGTTGTAATCAAGTTCCATTTGAAGATTCCCTCAAAAATCACATGGTAGGATCTTTGATATCTTACTTGGTGTGTCAAATTCTCTTGACTAAGATTTTCATTGTGTTATTTCAGTTACCCTTGCCAAATCCTTGGCCCAGTAGGCATAGTGTTCTGATCATAACTAATGCAAGTATTCGTCAAGGAGATTGTACAGCTGAGTTATGTACTAGAAGAGTAGTCCCATTGATTTATTTACCTGCTTATCATTTGTATCTTAATCCTATCAAAAAATGATTCCCAACTTTGAGAACTCAATTTCATCAATCTAGAATCTTTAAACAATTTTTAAAAGAAGATGAGGAAAAAAAGTTTGATTTGGGAGGGTTGTATGGAATCATTTTACAGAGAATTCAACTTCTTCACTCCTTCATCATTCTGGTTGTATTTAAAGTGTTTCTCAATACAAAATTATCAGCTTTTGCTTTGATTCATCATCTTAGTATCTGTTTTTGATTCATTTATCATTGATGTATTTTTTGTTTTGTTCTTCATCTTCTATAATCTGAAAATTTCATCTTTGCTGTTTTGTTGTTGTTGGTATTGATTTAAATTTTCTTGATACCAGTGTATGATTCCCCTTTGATTTATCATCTAATTATCTGATTGTGTTTGAATCATTCATGTCTGTGGTATGGTTGTTGTCTTTTTTGTCATCTTCTTTGAACCTATTTTCTTCAGATTCAACATAAACTCTTATGGCTCTTAAATAAGACTCACAAAATATTGAGGTTGTTGATTTGAACAAATACTCTTTTTGTTGGTATGTCAGTGATTTTTTTGACCCTCATACCATTCCTTTAACATTGGATAATTCCTCTGGAGCTTTTCCCGGTCCTGCTATGTACAGGCACTTTTGATACTACTGTACCTATACAAACTTTACCCTGATGAAAGTAGATTCATTTATTCATCTTCTTATTCTATTCTACAAAAAAATAAAGCTGAACATTGCAGTCTGATCCATTGTGGGACTTGCATATTTTCTGAATCATGTATCCAATACATGTAGCTGAGTACCTCATTCATGACAAGGTACCCAAGTACAGCCGGTATTTTTCCTCACATTGGTAATACATAAACCTTGGTATTCCTTGAAACACTGTGTTGAGTGTGTATATCTGTCATTCACAATCATTGATAGGTGGGGTTGATGATGAACATTGGTAAGTAAAGTTTGAATAAGGTCAATCATGAAACTCCATCTTTGTTGATTCATATGAATTCAGTCAAAGTGATTCTGTGAAGAGTCCTCACAAAATCAATCATGATGGGTATTGTGTCATATAGAATACATCCAATAGATGCCATCCACATAATGTGATATGTTGACAGCGGCGCCCGTTGCTGATGTGCTAGTCTAAAACTGAAACACCCACTGCATGACAGGTGACTCCAATTCTTGTTTGCAGCTATTAAATTTGAACACCAAACAACCCTCCTGGATAACACTATAAAGGAAATCCGTGTACTCAAGTCCAAGGTTGAAATACTGGAGAAGTGATTGATTTAGAGGAGGAAACAACTTCCGCGCACTTATCACTAAGAGTTCATTCAATAGTAATATGGCGTATCTCAGGACTTGGGTATGATGATATTGAAGTAGAATATGACAAGAATTCTGATTCTAGTTGTGATTGAGTGAATTGGACCACTTATTCTAGATAAATTTCTGCTGTTGAATGTGGCTTGCATGTTTGATAGATGCCTTGATCAGACTGTATTGTTACCTTGGCCAATGTTCATCATTGTTCTATGTCAAATCAAGTGTACTGTTGCTTTCAGGTCATATTCTATCCAATCCAATTGTATTTATAGTTTCTGCCTTTTATCTCAACTTACAGTATTTCTTCCATACCTACAAATCCACCTCACTTGTTGAAATGAATTTGAACTGTACACTTATCATGGAGTAAAGAATAACCGCAAGCTTGCACACACTTGTAATCCTAGAATCACAAGTATCTGAGCACAAATATCTATGAGATCTCTTGGAAGTAATTGCTTCTGTAAAGCATTGCTGTGTTCTTGTTGTGACAATCGATTTCCATAT